TATATATATATATATATATAGCAGAATTCAATTCCAGTTTAGTATGAAATTATTTGTCGCGCAAGGACTAGAATAATATTGACACTGCCGGATGGCAGTCTGAGCAAGTCTAGATCTTCGCTCATATTAGGGCGTTTTTAACGGTCTTACTGTGGGAAATTTGTAGTGATTTTGAAGTCGTTATATTTGTCAAATTTCTGGCAACAGGGCTCTTGTTGAATTTTGCTAAAATTTACTTTCCTCGCTGAGTTATTAGACGAAATGTGTTTTGTGTTCTATTTTTCGGTTTACTGGTTTTGTTACCTTTCAAGTGAACGTAACTTTTTTCGCCATCTACCTACAACTTTTTTTTTCATTTTTAAGTTCTGCCGACTGTTTGCCTAAATTTGTATAATTTTTACAAAAAATGAATCGTACAAGTTTTTTTAATAATGTGCCTTTTAGGTTGTAAAGTAGGTTTTAGTTCAGTATAGTTAGTGTACTTTTTCTGTCTGAAACAAAGAGGAAGTTAAAATACAACAAGGAAAAAAAGAGACTATTAAGTACTAGTGTGAATGAATAAACATTAATACTTATTTTTATTACATAGATAATAAGTTTTTATGCAAGTAATAGGAGTTTTTAAAGTAGTAAGGTCTTTTTTTTCAAATGATTAGTCTTTCTTCTTTAAGTAATAGGTTTCTTTTATGTAAAAATCATTCCGAAGTCACAAATTTTCTGGTGTCAGACGAACCCTTAGTTAGTGGAGCCTTCTGACACCCGACATCTTCCATTGTCGTGGTTATGTGGCAGGCGACATCCCGGGTCATACAGTTCTGCCAAGGAACACCACATTGCGGCTCCTCCATTCGCTTTATTTTTCTTTCTGGTTGTAAGAATCCCAATCCTTTCAGTCTTCCTCTTTTCCTTTTCGTTTTAACTAGTTATACATAGATTATATTTCCGCTTTTGCTCCTATTATTAATTCCAGTTTTAGTATAAAACACTTTCCTCGTTGACTTCCACGCCATTAATATCTCTGACTTTTGTTTTTCAGAAAAGCAAATGTATAAAAACTGCGAAAATGAGTCGAATGAAATTTGGAAATGGGTCTTAAAGTTGCTGTATGACAGTCAAATGACTCCAATGTATCATCTAGATGAAGACATTTTGTTTAGGTACCAATCGCGTATCTTCGCATTGATATTTTGACGACATGGGCCGTGTTAGCTCTTGTCTTTTGAGGGTAAATTCGCAATTGCTGAGTCAGACGCTGACTGCAGGATGCAAAAAAAGTAAGAGGGAAAACTGACTTTTAATCAAACCGACAACTGCTATATGTCCAAGTCGTTATCGATGTTCTTCCTCAGGTAGTTTTACTCAAGCTAAAAAGTTTTCCCAAATATTCAAAGTAGATATATCCATACAAAACGTACAGAACTAATTATTGGCCATCTTACAATCGTAACAAATTTATTCAACTGAATTTTCAGTTTTGAGAGCAAAGAAATGTTTAAATCTTTGAATATCGGAAAAGTTACTAGTATTTGTGAATCATAAGCCGTGGAATGCTTCAAAACAACATTTCTTTCATCAAAAATTTTAATCATTAATAATGTGACTGACTGTTAGGACCCGTTTCAGATGGTAAGACTCAAAAAAGAACTTATAATAGGAAAATTGCTAACTACTCAATTTCTTCAGACGTAGATCTGGTTAAAGTGACTACTTCTACATAAACATTTTTTCAGTAACATCAGAGAGGATTTAAGCAACATTTACAAGGTTCAAGCATCACTGAAAATGTACAGTACGAAATACAACGCTTAGTAAGCTTTCTTACATGTTACAAATAAATCGGCCTCAGCAATAACGTTCAATTTTACATATCAAAGTGCGACAAGCATCAGGTACTGAATTCATAAGGTTAAAGTTTCAATCATTCTTCCTTACCACCAATTTTCCAAGGTCGTCACATGGTCGACATTATGGTGGAAGGAGAGGATGCACAACACTTCAGAGATCATCAAAACTGCTATTTGGCTGTATTCAAAATTTTTCTGCCTGTCCTTTAAAAGAATTCTGCTCAGGAGCCTACGATCTTCGTTAAACCGTCAGGAAGAACTTTTCAACATAAAAGTCCAGGCATCTGGTTTTGGAAGTTAAGTGCGAACTGTGCAGTGAAAATTTAACTGAAGGATATAAGCGACATCATTTAACTTAGGCTTTTTCTTTTTGTAATTCTTTTTCCTTTTTCTTCAAAGCAACTGCCTCAGCCTCTTCAACAGGAACTGGAGAGTCGATAGGTTTTGAGTTTTCAGCAGAAAGTTGCTTAGCATATTCCAAAAGAGACATTCCGTTCAGCTGCTTGTCACCCTCATTGACTATTTCACCAATCACTAATCCATATGGCCGAAGATGATACACAAGGAAGTCAAGTGTATACATCGTTGCAGTATTAATGTAGTGATAGGAGACCATGTAATCGCTACAACACTCTTCACCCTAAATCCAAAAGTGACTATCTAATTAATCAACCGTTTGATATCCGTTTATTAAAACGGTTTTCAATTAGAACCCTAAAAGTTTGGGTCTACAATGTGAAATCAAACTGAAATGTTGACAGAAAATAATGTGGATTGACAGAGATTGTCTTTAGAAAAATCCATTTGAAAAGATCTAATTTACCTGTTTATAAGGATAATACATAAATTTATGAAACCAGGCCGGTAAACTATGATTAGCTGACAGATGCGACAGTGGCCCAAATGGGAGCATTCGATGGCGTCCCTAAAATTTACAGTACTCTAGCGTCGGTGTAGCTGTAATTGGCATAATTTAATTAATATCACGTTTTTCTGTTGCTTACAGAATCCTGGTCGTTTAATTTGTAAAAAAAATGGAAACTTTTTTTGACCAGAGTGAGTGGCGAAGAACTGAACCACAGTCCTTCATGCATTAATGTCGTGTACTATATGACTGAATAACATAGTTTTGTACTACAGTATGTGCGGAATGAAGCACCTCTGCCAGACCACTGTATCCAGTTTTTTCTAGTATATAAGAAAAAATTTGTAATTTGAAAGAAAGACTTGCATGCTGCACTTTTGAGCAGAATAAGAACA